GAGCTGAGAAGTGGCTGGCCACAGAAAACGGAAGAAGTGTAGTGAGGCCACTGGTTACAATGGGTAATGAGGAATCACACAAGAATCTGACTCAGGGGATAGTTTCCCTCTTAAGAACTGGATGCGAGACCACAGCAATGTGAGCAGCAGGGGACACCTGGTATGATGGTTCCTTGGAAAAGCCCATTGACCTCACCGGATCATTAGTCTCCTCCCTAAATGTCCCTCAGGGTTTCTAAATGAAAATGGTCTCTAGTGCTGCCCATAGGGGGCAGGGAGAGACTTGGAGTGCCTCTCTAGCAAGTTCTTTTAAGAGAACTGGCCGCTTCTCAGACAGCCACCAGAGCAGGCCGCTGGTGAGACCAGCACCAGGCTAATCAGAGGCACCAGAGGCTTGTGGCTGGCCCGGAGTCACACAGGACAAACAGCAAGTCAGAAATGGGAAGTACTTGGGCTTCCTGAAACCTCGAGGTTCAAATCCCAGCCAGCTGACTCAGGATTCTGTCCCCACTAAATCAGAAACGTCCACTGAACTTAGGACTCACCACTGGGCTGAGGTGCAGGTCCAGGAATAGCTGGCCCCTGCAGCCCTGGCCTCAGGGCGCTCAGGGGCAAATCCTACCCAACCCCCAAGTCACATTTCCAGATGTAAAGTGAAGCAATCTCTCACCACTCAAAGGTCTCCTTGAGAAGGACAGCCCCAGAGGAGGAATGTGACTGGAACCCTGAGACAGTGGGGACAGTGGCTGTGCAAGGCTGCCACACACAAAAGGTAAAGCAGAGAGAGTATGATCCGCCCATTTGAAAGGTGTTACTAGTAAAACATAGTCAAGGACTTAAAAAATTCAACTAAGACCTCACTAAACCTTACTTCATCCTTTTCTCAACTGTCACACCACATGATCTGACTTCCTGACACTTCTCTCCTACAGGTCATACTGATTTTTAAAAATGAAACAGAAAAGGAGGACAGCAGCTGACATTCATGCAGCACTGGCTCCATGATCTAAGTGTTTCTCAGGCTAGCCCACGCAGTCCTCACAAGAGCCCTCTTATTTTGCAGATAGAAAACCAGGGGGCCAGCACTCTGTGCCTGACTTGGAGAGGGGTGGGGGGGATGGTGGTGGTGATGCAGAGAGCAAGGAGCAGGAGAAGAGTGGGGTATGTTCCAGGCTGATGGTCTCATTGCAGCCTTCCAAGGAGAGCTGGACCCAGTTGGGGCATGACCACCACTTCTCCCGCTGAGCATCCATGTGGAGGCTGGGCTCGGATGCGGGAACAAGTCAACTGACCAGATGGGCCCTCAGACCACCAAGGTAGGGACATGCGTAGCTGATCTCGCAGAAAATGGAAATCCCTACTAAACTTCTGGGTCAGCAGAACTAGGTTAAAACCCTGGCTCCACCTGTTTACCTTCTAACACTGGGCAAGTTGCTTACCCACCCAAGCCTTGGCTCTTTCTTCTGTAAAATGGAGCTGAACACACTACCTCACCTCCTAGAGTTTTTGTGAAAACTACAAAGCAGAAAGTACCTGGCACACAGCACTCAGTAAATGTTACCTATTATAGGGTTTTGTTTTGTTTTTACAAAAAAATGTTTAAAGTGCATTTTAATAGTGACTATTTTTTAAAACTGCAAAATTACATGACTTAAAGCTTTAAAAAAGTTTGGTAACTTTTCATTCAAATGAAAGAAACTGGAAGGGGGGTGAAATCAAATCGAATCCCTGAGGACCGGAAGAATGTTCCCATGCCACCGCTCTTGGGGGCCGGCAGTCTCTGGGTTCACAGAAACCGCTGGGAGCCTTGGGGCTCTCAGAACCCAGCCCTCTTGGCAGTGGCACCCTGCCCGTGGGACTCGCAGGACATGTTTGCAATTTGTTTTTATTTTTAGACACATCTGCACATGCCATTTGAAAAATACCAGTCCTCACAGAAGCAGGGCAATTTCCCTGAGGTTTTCTAAAGCTGTAATTGTCACTGCCTTCCTTACTCGGAGCACCAGCGCATCCTTCAACATGCAGCCAAGCGCAGCTGCACAACCCTGCCTTGCCTGCGATTTGGCGTCTTAGCCTTCACACACACTGTAAATGTGATGTCTTCTGCAGCTAAGAGGTTCTACTTAGTAAGCCCTCCCTGGCCTCATGAAGGGCTACCTCCAGAGATGTCAATAGTAGGAGGCACAAGACTCTGCTTCTAACTTTAACCTTGGCATCCAGAAGCTAGGGCTTACGGAAGAAAGGAGGCCCAGCACATCCTAGCAGCCACCCATGTGACTGGCTGGACAATGGTGACTAATTTTCCTAGGAGGTATAAGCTGAGTTTCCTCTGTACTTCCCACTTTTTCAAGTGTGTTGTCTTGTGACCACACAAGCTAATTAGAGTTGGGGCAGTCTGGTGTAAACTACCCAGGACCCCAAGCCTCCATCGTTTTATTTACCAGCTCCACGCTCAAACCAACAGTCTCTTGCATATAAGAAAAGACCTGTAAGTGATTTATTCAACTGAGCAACCAATACTCTTATAGATACTGATGCAACTGTGTTTCACTGGCCAATGATAACTGAAAATTAGACAAGAGAAAAGGTGCCCGTTGATAGAACACAAAAAAACTTAAGAGGGCTGAATTGAAATACATGTATTTCAAGTGGGATGAAAAAATGGAGGACGGGCATATTACCAGGTGAGCTGCTGAGAAAAACTCAGCTCTAAAGCAAGTTTGTAAAAGTCTGGTCATTCAGTGATGAACATGCCAGGCATTAACGGCCACTCCGAGGGAAACAGCACCTCTGCGTATGACACACTGAAGGCCTGGTGCCAGACTGCATGGAGAGCTCTTAGCTTGGCATGTGCGGGTCATGTGTTCCAGAAACCATAAGGGCTCTGGGCTGAAATAATAATGTTGCAAGAGATACTGGAGCATCAGAAGGAGAAGAGCAATTGTCCAATCTGGAGGGGGAAAGAAACAGCAAGAGCAAGATGATGCTCACAAAGCACATTAAAATATCCATGTTTTTGGCATGTGTGTTTTTGAGGCCTTTAAATTTTATTTTTTTTAATTACACAGTAAAATTTACTCTCTGGGGGAGAAGTGTACAGTTCTATGAAAGGACACCTGTATACATCCTTGTAACCACCAGTGAAAGGAGGATACAAAAAAGTTCTGTCACCTCAAAGGTTCATTCTACACATAATTCCCTAAACTTATTTAGCCAATAATGGGCACAATGAATAATAAGGGTAGCAACCATAATCACCACTTGTCATCAAAATTAAGTGCCAGAAAAAAATGCTACACCCCAACCTCCCATACACTAACACCAAATTGTTTTTGCTGCTTGGCTGGCAACTTTCATGTGTTTCTACATTATAAAATTTACACGCCCCCCCCACCCCCACCCCCAACTTTTCATCTCTGGTAAAACCAACATTCAGTGGCGGGAGTTTTTATGTGTCAGATTTTAAAGGCTCTGGTTTTATCTGTGAATTTCAGTTCAAGGGCCATGCAGACAGGTTAACCTACCAACAGGTACAGGCTGCACTGACCCCATCTTTCTTCTGGAATCCAAGAGACTCTCCACTCATTTAGCAAATATTTATTGAGCACCTACTAAGTTAAGTGGCTGGGGATATAAAGCGGTTAAGATACAAAATCTAGCGCAAATCTCAGTACTAAGGATGAAGGAAGTAGACAGGGTCCTATATGGTGATATAAAACCATAAACTAGGGACAGTTGGTTAAACAAATCAAACTCAGGGGGTGGGGTTAGGGGTGTGGATACCAAAAGAACCTCCTCCATCTCTTCCGTTTATATACAGAGCCAGAAGAAATCACTTCCTTGCCTCAGTTTCCATCAGCTGTAACTTTCTGGCACCTTATGTGTTGCGTAGTGACACGTTAAGCATTCAAGTTACTTTAAAAAGATGAAATTGAACGTTTACGGCTCTTAAGTGCTTAGCCCTATTTTGCGCACTCTTGTCTGGTTAGCCTTGGCGTGTAAAATTCTTCCAGACAAGCCACCTGAGCGACCAAACTCTTACCTCTGAAAAAACACCTTGTAAAAAAATGTGTCTCGGTATACAGGTTCTTACAGGAAAGACTGCACAACTCACCGATAAGGCGAGGGCAAAGTCTGCGTGGGAAATCACATTTGCAATAGAGAGGGAAAGGCGATCAGGAGCAACGGCGAGCGCCCCAGGCTCCAGTCCGCGGCCGGACGGGAAGGCCTTGCGCCAGCCGGGGTGCACACCCAAGGCCGGGCCCGCCTCCAGCTCCCGGGCAGCGGGAACCGCAAACCGCGCCGTGGACTGCAGGGGAGGGGGCGCTGCGCCCCCTGGCGGCGGGGCCCATCTCCGTCCGCTCCCGGCCGCAGCCACCGCCGGCCGGCCTCGCTCCATTTACAGACTCCCGAAGCAGCGTCCTTCCGAGCGGAGGCTCCTCTGGCCTCCCGCGCCCCGCTCGGCATCTCGCTCCAGTCCCCGCCCCCTGCTACGCTCTGACACCCCCTTCTACACGCCGAGCCGTCCCCCGCTGCAGCCTGGCCGAGCGTGAGCGCCGAGCCCCCGCGGGCTCCGCAGAGCCTTTCCGGCGGCCCCGGCCGCTCCATCGCGGCGCCCGGCGGGGGTGCCCGGCCGGCGTGCGGCGCGAGTGGGGCGCGCAGCGGCGCCACCACGGACCGTTCCACTTCGCGTTCCCCCCGCCCCCGCGCGGCGCGCGTGCTCCCGGGGACGCCATGGAGCCGCGGCGTTCCGAGCGGCACAAAGGGGCGCGCGGCACAATGGGCGCGGTGAGCCCGTGGGCGCGGAGCGCCCGCTCCGGCGGCTCGGCCCTGCGTGGGGGTGGGCGCTCCTCCCGGCGGGCGCGCCCAAGGCAGCCCCCCTTTTCGTCCCCTCCCCTGCTCCCGCCCCCACCCCGGCATGGATGTTGCAGCCACTCTCCCGTCTGTCTGCCCTGGAGCTGCCGCCACCGCGCAGCCGGCTTGATCCGCCCCGCACTTACCTGGGACACGAGTTCTGTACTTTGCTGAGCGGGCCCGCGCCGAGTTTGGGCGCCACGTGGGGTGCGGGGGATCGCAGGACTGAGGAGTGGGGGCCGCGCGCGGAGGGCCTGGCCGGGGCGGCCCGGGGAGTTGCTGGGGGCGGCGGGCGGGCGCCGTGTATTTTCCCCTCTCTTTGTGTGTGTCCGTGCGCTGCGCTCTCGCGTGACGTGACGGGACTCCGTGTGTCATTTCCGCACAAGGACACAGGAGCCCCCGCTGCAGTGGAACCACAACCCCTCCGCCCCCACCCGCGGCGAGGAGCTCGGGCGCGCACTCCAGGGACCCGGGCGGCCCGGCGCGCTCCGCCGGCGCCGCGCTGCTCCACGTGGGCCCGCGCCGGTTGCCGGGGCGAGGGGCGGCGGTCGCGTACCCACGGCGCGCTGGGGCAGCGCTGGCTAACAATATCCTCTGCACTCTTATGTGTTCTCCCCCCGCGAGTCATTTCTCTAAAACGTGGTTTCTCAGACCCGAGGAGTTTGACCTGAAAAGCCTCTTTTTCTACTTTTTTTTTTTTCTCCGCGGGACGGCGACTGTGCGGGGCGTTTCCTCCCCTAGAGCCAGCCCCTGCCCCGAATTCTTGGCATTTCCGCGGTGCCCCGGTCCCCAGAGCGGGTGTTCCCGCGCCAAGCTCGGCATAAGGACTTCGGGGCGCAGGGACCCCGGTGGCCCTGGCGGAACCGGCATGGAGTCGCGAGCCGCGGGAGAGCGACCCTGGCGCTGGGAAACGCTGGCTCTGGCCACTCCCCCAGCGGAGTGGCCGCCCTCTGTTGTGAGCCTGAGAGCTAAAAATCTGCCTTGTACTTGTAACCCTAAGTTTTGAGGTTTGCAGCTGCAGAGCCAGAGATTCACAAGTGCGCGCGCTCCCGGACCCACATGCCACAGACAAACCCACGGGATATGTGCGCCCAGCGCTTAAAATAGAAAAACACGAGTCACCATTTCAATAAAGGCTGATTCTTCAGACTCCTAACTCCCGGACGGGCGAGTTCAACTTGATAAATATGCAAACTACCCCTCGGGTATTTTCACAGGTCTCAGACTTGAAGGGGTGTGGTGTGTGAGAGTCAAGGAAACCCAACTCAACAGTTAAACTACGTTTACACTTTAAGCAAACAACGAGAATAAAATTTAAAAAAATACTTTAATTTGCCAATCGAAGAAAGTATAAGAAGGAAAATGCAAATGATCCCCATCTGCTGCTCACAGCTGACTGGCTGCAAGAGACGACCATGTGGCCCAGCTCTGCGCGGTCAGTGAATAGGTAGAATAGATTTTAAAATACGGCTTATGCTGGCTCCTTGCTGCCCAGTAGCGGAGAAGGTTTGGATTTACGTATAGTTTTGGATTACCTTATCCTCCTCCAGAGCACTCCAATTGGGAATTTAGTAAATGTTCAGGTTCCTCCCCGTCAGGCTTGAAATCCAAAAGCAGTGGGTTATCCAAGACCTTTGAAGAACTACGTGGAACGTTCTCGAACTGTATTTGGTAGCCCGTTTTGAGAAGTCAGTACTAATTGCTATGCAAAATTAGCAAGCTGCCAGGAGAACGGACTCCTGCATCGAGGGAGTGGTTTTATAAAAGAATCTATACGTGCTCTCAGTGTCATTCAAAACAGGATGATGAAAAGAATGGGGCCGAGATAGCAAGCAGCCCTTCAAATTCAAAAGACTTGAGTCCCCTATCTACATTTAAAATAGGGTGGAGGGAGGAAGGGAGGAGGACCGCTTGGGGGAGAATGGTTAATTTATACATTCCCAGAAGACAGAATTTGAGGCACTTGGATTTCTGCCGGGAACTTGACTTTTACGCTCGCGCATTAAAGAACACGTATGATATAGTAGTACATCGCTTGACTTATACAGATACTGCAGTCTCACCTTCAATTTAATGTGACAGCCATAATTAGAATTTAAAAAGAATAAGTTGCATTTCATTAGTTCAGTTTTCTAGGGTTTCCCAGTAGGAGAGTTAGGAAGAGTTAAGACTAGTATTTGAGCTCACTTTGCATTTTCAAAGTGGATGCAAAGTGGCTTAAACATGTAAAATGACCGTGTTGAATTTTTACAAAGGGAACTAGATGAAATGTGTGCTGTGAAGCATTTATCTTTAGACAGTCGTTCACAGTAACAACTCAGGTATTTAAGGATAAATTAAATAATAAAAGACAATAGAAATGAAATAGAAATTAACATTTCTTTGTTCATACTGTTTGAAACCAAAAATTTTTCTCAAATACAATAATTTTACTAAAAAAATAGCATCTAAGGCAAGCAAAGTGCTAAACTGACATAGCTGACTTTTCAAAACAACTCTAAGAAACTACAAAGTGACCTTGAGAATTATTGTAAATATGTATCTTAATTTACACAGCTGGATCAATCTACTTAACAAAGCAAGCTGTTTATTCCAAATAAATTAACAGAAATAGAGATCATTGCTATCTAAGAAACTACCCACCTTCAAATGATTTTGTATATTTATATGAGTTTCTTTTTTTAAAAAGGAGTGTTAAAAAAAATGCAACTGAGTAAATTTGCAAATCTAATTGGCTTTATTAAGCAATTCATGAATCCGGGAGCATCCCCATCTAGCAACTAAAAAGGCGCTCCAGGGGTTGTACAAAAATGGGAGGATTTTTAGGAAGAAGGGTGGGGTAAGGAAACCATTAACAAAAGAAAAGAAAGGATTATTTTTAGGCCAGGACATCTTTTGGGGGGAGGGGAATGGCAAAGGTTTTTATCATGCAGATTGCCTCTTACCTTACTGGTTGGTGCTTGACCAGAAAATTCCAGACTGGTTGTTTAAGATTACATTTCTGGGAGAGGTTGAAACTGTAATTAGATCAGATTTTAAATCTAGGTTTGGTATCACGGGCTTTTAAGCACAAGTGATGCCATTTTAGGCCTGTGGTTTTCTCTTAACAGGAGGAAGGAAAAATATGACTAGTACATGAAAGTGTAACCACCTGCATAGGAATAGTTGTATTTCCAGTTGTATTTTGGAGTCTTTAAAAATGAATAGTTCTGAAAGTGCTATTGGATAAAAGTAATGCCTTATGAAAAAATATGAATAAACATGGAGTAAGATGGGGAGAGGAATGAAGTAGGAAAAACACAATTTCTATCCAACCCAATCCTAAGAAGTCAGTAGAAGTGACAGACGGCTCATGCTTCATAAGGATGTGCAGAAAGACAAAAAAAAAAATACCAACCTGAGCTTTACAGGTCTGCTTGATTGGGAATTTCTTAATTAGAAATGCATTTTTCAAGATTTCAAATTAGAGTTGCTGCAACTGATCTAATGAACTCATTTCCAATTTTACCTGAGTAAAAATGCAGCGGGGGGAAATTGGCTTCTTGGTCATGTAAAGGAATCATATAAAACACTAAAAACTCAAATGCAAAAAAAAAAGTGGGATATATATAATGTAAATATATATAATTAAAAGTGGCAGGCAGACATTAGGTTTCAGATATCTTTTAACTTACTCTAAAGGTTTTATCATTGTTAAAATATATTTATAGTTGCCAAGACAATCTTTACTAGGGCTTTTTTTTTTCTTTTTCATTAGATAAGTATTAACACAACAGATTTCACTGTGACTTGTGAGACATTTTCACTTTATTTCTTGCATGCTGGATGCATGATTTTGCCAAGTCTTCAACTTCAAACAAAGTAGCTGGCACATCCAGATTCTGTAACGACTCAAAACAGAGAAGAGGGGGAAAAAGGAGGAGCGGAGGAGCACGTATTAACTTTATTACATAGAACTTATAGAAAGACACACTTCGCTAAATAACTTGCAAAACTGACTTTTGGTTGGAAAGTTGGGCTCCGGGAAGTTGAATTTGACCCTTTGTGTGCTGGGGGGCGGAAAGCAACTATCTTCAGTGGAATTAGGAACAGGTAAATGAAACAATGTAAAAAAAAAAAAGTGAGGTTTTGAATGAAAAGCTGCAGAGAATTTGTGATGGGCAGTTTTTCTTATGTGTGGAAGAACTATTGAATAATTTATAGCAGTTTGAGATGTGATGCACCCAACACAGCCATTAGGATCTGATTTTAGTGGAATATCTGGTTTACACAATAGGATTCTGCAAAAAGAAATATTAGGGAGGGAGAAATCTGCTGCAATCCCATTCTCAGCTTCAAGCCCTTGAGAAAACAAATGCCAATCCAAACTAGAGCTCATTCTGAGCCCAGAGTGCTGGCTGGAGGCGCTGCAGCCACCAGGGCCCCCTCGCCCAGAGCGGCGCCCAAGGGCCTGCAGTCAGGAGCCTCCACACTGATCACACAGTTACAAAGGCAGGCAGGAAGCAAGGAGCAGGGGAAGTCTGGTTCCCCAGCCAATCAGACCCTATTAAAAAAGAAGAAAAAGGAGACAAACTTCTCTAGTATTTGGCTGATTTTTAAAATAATTATTTCATGCTGTGAATCAAAAGGCTCTAAATTAAATGGTATATATCTATCCCTATCTATCTGTCTGTCTATCTATCTATCTATCTATCTATCTATCTATCTATCTATCTATCTATCTATCTATCTATCTATCCATCTTCTTTGACTTGCCTAAAATCTTTTCTTTAAAATGAAACGCCTCATAGAAATAAACTGGAGATCCACTGATTCCAGTTCTAGGAATCTATCCCAGAGTAATACTCAACCAAGGCTACATCTACAGAAATGTTCACTGCAGGATAGTTCATGATAGCAAAAAATTGGAGAGAACTTGGGAAATAGTTAAATGAATGACATATGCTATGGCATACTATGTAGGCTTTAGAAAAAAGGAAGGTACTCTTTTTTATGGATACAAAAGAATGTCTATGAAATAGTAAAAGAAGAAAATTATGGATCTATATATATGTATATAGTGTAATCCCATTTTTGTAAAAAAGAAAAATATGTATTGTACATACATATATCTGGGTTTGAGTAGAAAAGTTCTGGGAAACGGGTAGTAGTGGATACCTCTGAGGGATAGATGGTGAAAGGAAAGAGGGACTTTCACTTTTTCAGGTTATAATTTGTATAATGTCTGATTTTATTTTTTCCTCACAATGAGCATCTATTGCTTTTGTAGCTCTATTCCCCCTCCCAAACAGTTGTCACCATGGCCTAAGGAGCAAAAGTCACCCTGGAGTAGCTAAAAGTTATACCAACCTGGTGTGAGA